ACTTGTGTTCTGCACACTGACTTCCAGTGTGCAGAACACTTACATTACTTGTAAACTTACCTGATCTACCCTTAGCACAGTTATTGCTGCATTTGTCGCTAGTTTGATACCCCAGGATTTTCCAAGGTATGTGTCTAATACACCAGCTTCCAACATATCCTTCACAGCAGCAGCTTCAGCCTATCAAACAGGGGGAAAAATACCATTCAAAACTTTCTCAGGCTTCTACCTAGCAAGTTATTGGGTTTTCAAGGCTACAGGTTTAGAACAAGTTATCGCTCTCTTGATTTTATCTTCTCTCTCCAGAAAAACCTTAATTCCTAATCCATTAGCAGGAAGACAAAATAAGTAATTACTAAAGACTTATCCTCCATCACACTAGTTCAGTACCTCACTTCACCTCCTACATAAGGTATGCTACTGTGCTACACTGAATTTAACTGCTTGCTGATGAAAAAAAAAAACCACTTCAGTATTACAATTCTAAGAAGTTATTCTTCTGGACTGTGCAACACAGAGCTTCAATACATACTTCATACTGACAGACGTACTTTTAAATATAGCCGTGTACTGCAGAGCACCAAGTACCATGAGAGACTATTTACCTCAATATCAAATCCAACATTTTTGTTCCCTTCCTGATGCACAGCATAAAGTTTGGAGATGACCTCATTAGCCTTTACTCCAGAGTTTTCTGCCAGTGCTCGAGGAATGGCTTCAAGTGCCTCAGCGAACTTCTTGATGGCATACTGGTCAAGCCCAGGACAAGTCTAAAGTGAAGTTGAAAACTACATCAGCATTTCAAAAACCGTAAGACAGGGAGGCATTTTCCCCCCAGTTGTTCATTGATGTATATGCATTAATACACATGTATATTTCAGTATAAAGATGTATGTATATATTTTTATATTTCATATACATATTTAAGTACATGTGTGTGTGTGTGTATACATACATATAAAAAAAAAGTCAAAAAGCCCATTTGCTGTACCTCTCCATAAGATGTGATCTGCTTGGCTAATTCAATCTCTGTTGCACCACCTCCAGGAACAAGACGTTTATCCTGCGAACAGACCATCCCAAAACGCAACGTTTTGCTTAAAGCATCATATTAATCTTCACTTTTTAGAATTTATATACTCTATCAAGAATGCAATAGAACTTTATCCCACAGAGACTTATTAAGAAGCTGCTTCAGAACAAACATGCATTGTAAGAGAAATTCACCAGAATTTACTCATTCATTCCAAATGTCTTTGAAGAAAAGTAGCTTCTTTTGTAAAAAGCAAAGTAATAATGCAGTGGGTTTTGTGTCAGGGGTTTTTTGGTGGGTGTTTGTTTAAAGAAAAAAAAATTTCAACCCTTGGCTAATTAATAATAGAATTCCTAGATTTTCTCATCTTTTCCATTAACTTGTTGGGAAATATTCAGGAAACCAATCTACTGTACACTGACTTTAACGTATCAACAAGTATCACAAGGTGTTGGGGTTTTTGTTTTGCTCTGTTTTTTTAAATTAAGCATTTTGTGTATCCTTTGGCAAACCAGCATTCACAAAAGAACTCCCAGTCTTTTAAACAGAAAAGTAAACATCATAAATTTTAAGTCAGGACCACTCCTGTCAACAATCATAAACACACAGTCTATGGCTGTTTCTGTACTCTAAATCAATGTGCATGTCTTGGTATGCACAGGGCATTCAGCATCAAATAGAAGTTTCACATTTTTTTCATGCTACCTTCTGAGTAAATATACAAACATTTCCTTTTGTGTTTAAAAAAAAAAAAAAAAAAAAAAAAAAAAATCAAGTCCACAAAAGCTGCTCAGAAAAAACTTGAACTGAGTTCTTCCATCTATAAAGCATATCTGTAGTATGTGGAGGAAATGTCTTGTCACCAATGAATTAGAAATTTAGTTTGCAACCAGTCAGCTCCTCCTGATCCCATGACAAACAAAGCCATCTAGCTTCTCTTCTATACCTGGCTTCCAAGGAACATTACAAAACATTTAGGGAAACAGCCAAGAAAGAGCTGACTGCCATTAGAAAGTGATATAAACTAGTCTATCGTCAAGAACTCGCTCATTACTGGAAAACTGAGTGCAGTACATGCTGAGCACTATCTTTTCTGCACAGCCCTCTACACCTCAATACTAGAGTCTTCTCTACACTTCAAGGCGGTTCCTAAGCTGATAATGTAAATATCTGCTACAGCCTCTGTAGCAAACAAGCACAAAAGCAAGCATGAGTCTTGCCTCAAACTGACCCATAGCTCAGTTTTGATAACTGAAGTGTTCTGGTTACTCACCCTTGTGAGTACTTTGAAAGTGTTTACACCATCATCCACTGCTCGCTCTATGTCATCCATCAGATTGTCTGTAGATCCACGAATAAGTATAGTGGAAATGGCACCATCCTCCTTTTCTGTTCAGACAGATGTGCATTATTGAATTAAGTTTGTTAGATGTAAGACACAGATGAACATCATACTTCTAGAGCAGCAGCATTAGTTCTACAGAATATACATACCATGCTTAAATACAACAACTTGCGTATCCCCCACCTCCGATAAATAGACACTATCGCAGTGACCCATTTCTTCTAGAGTAGGGGGAGTCTGGAAAGCAAAACAAAGAGTTAGGAGGTGAACCTGCTCATCAGTACTCTCCCCTCTGCTACTCATTTGAAAAGTCCATACCAGTCTGGGTAGGGCTGTTGCACCAACAGTTTTGCAGAGTCTTCTCAGATCCCATTTTGAGTTCAACCTTTAAAAATAAAAACAGTCTTTCTAATAAAAAGTTTCCAGAACAAATGTTAACACATATGCGTAAGTATTCTCTTAACTCAGCAGCATTTTTTAAACTAATGGCATTTATCAAAGTTTACTGCATCAAGTTATAAAATCCACTTATCTGGGTTTTTTTGAGTTATAATTATCTATTTTCAGGGATGCTAGGCAAAGACTGTTTTCTAAGAATCTAAAAATAAGTAATTCAAATACATGGAAATTATCAAATTTAATCTTCTACTACATAAGACTTGAACTGATCTTTACAACACCTTTATAATAATCCTCCTTTGTTATGCAAGAGATTACAGTATCATGCTCCATTTCCAGGCATTCCAACTTTTTGAACACCACCAAAAAAGTTATGGCTTTCAACAAAGGGACACTTATTTGTGCAAGATCTGAGAGCAGCTGCTAGTAATTCAACTTCATGTTTTGCAGAATGTATTTTAAGGATGTACAAACATGCTTTATTTATAGATAAGAAGATTTAAGGCCCACAAAAATGACAGAAGAGTTATTAAGAATTAGTTCTTCAATCCATCAATAAATTAGTGATGCACAGAGGCGCCCCTCATCATTGCTACAGCATCACGTGAGGACTGTGACCAGGAGGAACCGTTATGGTAGAAGTCTTACATGCCTTTGAGGCCACATCCCCTCTTTACTAGATCCACAAGTTTTCATATTCTTGATTTTAGTCGTGCTATAAAGGCACTTAAACCAGAATAATAGTACCATACACACAACTCACTCCCCGATTAGCAGTGGTACAGAGGTGAAACACTGTCAAGAAACATAAGCTATGAAACAACCAAATTGCAGCTCAGGTTTTGATCCACTAGAAAACCAAACAGTCTGCAATATTTTGTTTCTAATTCGTTTGAGAGGCAAGAGACAATATGGCAAGAAATTTCATAAACCCAGAAGATCAAACGTTTTTATGCTCTTCTAGCACTTACCTGACTAACATAAGGTTGTATTTGTTGGCATAATGAAGCGCCATGTCTGCCACTTTGCCACCTGTTACTACTACATTTGCACCACTATCAGCAATGGCTTTGACTTGCAAATCCATTAGGTTTTCTTCTCCCTTACTGAAATTCATCAGTTCTTCAGCATTCTTTATAAGTACAGTGCCCTAGTAAAACACATGGACTGGCATCAATTCAGCGTTAAATACATGCCTAATTTTTTGACAAACCATTTTGTCTCCCAACCTATCCATAAACCCCCAAGCCATCCTATTTTATAATACTGCCACACTTCCCAGGTAATGGGGTAAAACAAGTCAAAAAAAGGGCAATTCTAGCATTTCTAGACAACCTTGAGGTTGAGACATTCTAGCTTGTAGTTTGACTCAAATAACCCAACACAGACAACACCACCTCCTCAAGCCCAAAATCCCTGCAAAGCAAAATTAGGCTCAGATGTTTTCTACAAACCTTTTTAAACTAATGAACTCAATATTAACAAAAATATCTCAATCACCAAGTGTCAAGAATATTCATAGTTAAGTCTAAAAATAAAAGGACATGACAATAAATAAATACATAACTTATTTTGGGCTTCTACATACCTTAGTTTCAGTTATCATACCATCAAAAGGGCAGGAATACACAGCTATTTTTGCATCTTTGACAGAAGTAACATCTCCTTCAGTTTCTTTTTTAAAAACCATTCCATGCAGTACTGAGGAAGCAGAGATACCAGCACCCTGAAAGTAAAGAAATGGAATGGGGGAAAGTCGTATTTTTCGTCATTTGTTGTCATAAAGCTGTGCTTACCCTTTATGAAAAGCAGTCCTTACATTTATTTGAATGTAGCAACCTAAGTTCTTATTGCAGCACAAAGAAGTAAGACAATACAGCAACATCAAACATTGTCTTGCAGGTTCCCATTTTAAGATTAGTTGGTGGTCCAGGTGACATTCACTTTCTGTGCTTAACTTGTTAGGTATTTATTAGCAGGGACAAAACACAGGGTGAAATTCATAGCAGATATAAACTTGCTCCAATCCTGCATACCACACTGAGACCTGACAAAAAGCACACAAGTTCAGACAGCTACATTTCCACCAGTTTGCATCTTAGCCTAATCTTGTAACTGCTTCTACAACAAAGATGCAATCAACATCCCTGTGTATAGTTAAGTTAATGTATCTGATTTAGCACAAACTTTTGAAGGCATGCTAAAGGCTTAACAAGAGACCTTTGTGAAGCCAACTGTAGTTGGAATGTGATAATAGCCCTGAGAAAACAGAACATCCTTGAGGAGGATGCAGCTTGAAGTACTAACGTTGTGGTTTAGGTTAAACTTACTAACCATATGAGGTAAGAAACTGTAGATAAGAAACTAACAGCGTGTGGTATGTGCATCATTAGAGAAAAAGAAGATATCTGTAGTAAATTGCCTATCTTTGTTGCTGGCCTGGGAAGGCATGTAGGGGACAAAACGTCTAGCATTTTGTCGATATGAGGATAGCCAGGGATGGGAACCATGAGACACAGAGGTAAAGGGGAATGTTTCAAGGATGGGGAGCTGGCATGAACCAGCTGTGTTGTTCTGACAGCAGAATAAGGGGGGGGTAAAAGCCAAAGTTCACCAAAAGGACAAGGTGAAGAAGAGGAGTGGATGAAATAAATGACCCCTGAAGACCACCGACTCAAATCACTGAGCATGTGAACGAGAATATGTAAATGATTTCCAGGAATTAATTTACCTATCTCTGCCTTTTCTGAGGAATGTAATGAATATGTATGTAAAATTAGTATATAAACCATGCAATTAACCCCATGAGGTGCGCACATTGGGAGGAGCGATCCCCTGTGCATCCAGCGCCACAATAAAGAATACCTGCTTAATAGTCACCAAGACTATTGAGTTCTGATTTTGGCTTTTCACAGCTTCACTTTCAATGTTAATGTTTTTTGTTTCCAAAAGCTGCTACTGGGCACTAAACAACGAACGTAAAGACCAATTTCCAAAACTCATGTGCGCCACAACACAGAGACTCGAATAGAAAAGGCACTTTCAAAGTTCAAAGATCTTTTTTATATCATAAATATTATATATTACATAAAAAAAATACAATTATATAAATAATTTGTATTAACTTTCATTAAACCTTTTAACTTAATAATACAGTAAAGCTAGTTACTTCCAAGATACCACAATTTTGCACACTCTGATATTATCAACGTTGAAATGACCAGAATCAGGAAGAATAGAAACTGTTGCGGGGAAAGAAAGAAAAAAAAAAAAAAAAAGAATGAATTAGTGTTGCTTAATGAATAAAGTAGAACAACACCACTACGAACGCCTAGTTTTTCTGAAGTACTAAAATGGAATGGTTTGAGATGCCTGCCTAAATTTAAGGCAATTATAGTCTGCTAATAATCTGCATCAGGAGAAACAGCAATTTTGTTTTTACAATGTAGTAACCAGAAAGCAACACCTATTCAGGCTGCTCAGTTAAATAAAGTCCAAACATCCGTTTATACATGTACATTCAAGAGTGAGGCTGATCCACAATATTTTGAGAAAACACTTAAACTAGATGTGAAACTTTTTTCTTGGAAATGTAAAGGGAGAAAAAAACCCAACACAACTACAGTCTTGCTTCCATTGTTCTGTGGCTGAGACCAGTAACAGCTTATCTGAAGTGAAATATATCTCCCTAATGATAAAGAGGAAGACACGTTCCTGCTTTAAAAAGCTATTTCTATAAATGTGTAGCAGAAAATACAGACCTTTTCTGAGCCACAATGCCAATGAAGAGTTCAACACGAGAAAGGTTATACTCACTTCAGAGGCTAAAGCATTTCATCCAGTTCAACCTGATAACTAACCATACCTTCTATCTTACACAAAGACATTAGTAATGATCATAAGGAAACCTACTCAGCTTTTTAGACACATGCACACATCTGTTCTTGTCAACTTACCACAGGCCTGAGCAATAAGCTTTGCCAAAAATTGTTCATTGCCATATTGTTTGCTCATCACTGAAGTGTGCAACAAAGATGCCACTTCTTCGACGTCTCGAAGGTTCTTTGCAGAACAGCACACCAAGTCTGGAAGAATTTCCAGGGCTTTCTTGCAAGCCTTTTCATACCCTTCAATCACCTGTGCAGCAAACAATAAATATTCACTACACCACTTCACTATGCATTCATACCGCTTATATCTCCTTTTCAAAGGGCCACATTAATAAACGCAAAAGCTTACAAGGGAAGCAAACACTCACAAGCAGTGAAACATATGCTGCTCTTCTTTGTACATCTCTGTCTAAAACATTAGTTCAGAAGGAAGCAGACAATTCACAATATTATGACCCAAGAATACTGACCAATGGCAATCTGAATTCAAGCTATGTGAATTGTAATAACAATATAACTTGCCTCTGACACTGATAACCCCATCCTCAGAAGGTCCTCTGCTAACTCCAGAAGAACTCCAGCAAAAACAAGGACAAAGTTTGTTCCATCTCCTACTTCTTGCTCTTGCATGTGGGAAGCCATCACAAGCATTTTTGCAGCAGGATGCTGGACCTTTAAAAGAAATTACACGTCTTGGTTACTAACATCCCACCTAGACTACAGCTACAGGTTTTTCTGTTCATTCAGTATAAGCTCTCTTATTTCAAATTGTATCTGAAGATACTAAGAATGCACAAAATAGGAATAGAAAGCAGCACAAATTATCTTAATTGGCTAACTACCATAATAACCAAAAGTACAAACATGGGGGGGGGGGGGGAAATCAAGAGAACTGAACATTCCCCCACAACATGAATTAGACACCCTTGACATTGGTTCTGTGCTATTTTTACAGGGTGCAGTGGCTTCACAATCAAGCTCTGCAAAAGGAAAGCAGCCTGAAGTTTAGATCTTCGAGCTGAACTCATATGTGTAAGTCGTAAAGTAGATGTCTAAATTAGAGTTTAATTCTAGTGTTTTTTCTGCTTAAAGATCGCACTGCTTTCCCTCTTTCAAAGAAATGCAATAAAAATGCTGTATTCTTGAATATAGCTAGAGCAGCTGTCATTTTATCCCAGAAAGTAACATGCAAGACTCATTCGGTTAAGTAGTCTGCAGATTTTTTTGTATAAACAGAACTGAAACTTCCACAGTTATTCTGCTTATACCAAATGCTACCACAATGCATTAAGGAAGGAAATATTTAATAATTACACTATTTCTACCAGTAAGTATAGAATTCAATAAAATATTATTTGTGCTGTGATACAAATATGAATTTGACAGTAAGAGAAAAAATTAGGACAGGTCAGTCTTTCCACACTTCTACTGTATTCACAGGAGGATGCCGCCGTATCCTCAGCTTCTTGAATCCAATTAACGAATTCTATGCAGACAGAAGAACATGGCAACCACCAGTACTGGGAGACTAACACAACAGCTATGTCATTCAGTTTTCCAAACGCTACTGTCTAAATCTACACTGGTTTGGGGGAAAAAAACTAGGCAATTATTAAGCATCTTTTGCAAATACTTAATGCTGCTTTACAGAAGAGTTCTATTCCTCACTGTGGATATAGCCCATTGACTTTACTCAAATCCAGTGAAAAATTTAAATTATTTAGAAAAAGACATGTCAATCATCTGGCAGGGTAACATGTATTTCCTCATTAAAATTCAGAGCCATAGGACCCCATGAACAGAAACACTAGTTCACAACTGACAACTTCCAAAGCAAGAAAACTTACCTCCAGCTCTCTCAAGATAGTAGCAGCATCATTTGTAACAAAAAGCTTCTCCAGGTGATTGATAACCATTTTGTTCATTCCTAACAGGGGAAAAATTTAATAAAACATATGTTAGGCAAACATAGTTTTGTACAGAGATACTGTTTCATAACTTTTAGGTGTATCTTACACATTAAAACATTAGCCCTATTGACAATTTAAGAACCTAAAAGATTTTTATGAAATAGCACTTGGGAGTGCGTTACATTAAGGATAAATCAATGATTTCTGAATAAGAGGTTCTCTCTTCAGAAACATTAGTACAGCATTTAATTATTCAATACTGGAGAACACCTTTTGCTTTGGTATATCTGACCAGATGTGGTATGGTTACGTTCATTACGACTCTCTACCCAGTTACTGTCTTTCCTTTAATTTTTGTAGGTCTTCGATATAGCAGTGCGACAGCAAAGAAGACGCAGTAACTGGTACAAAAACCTGGCAAAGGCAGGTACTCTGTGCATAACTTAAGAGCTAACCAAACAAATCTGGTTTGTATAACCACAAAGACCGTACTTAGAGTTCTAGAACAAGTCCAGTGTGAAACAAGAAACAAACGGTCTTTGTCAAAGCAGGTTTAGGCTTCAAACATAACATTTTGCTCAAAAGCACCACAATAATTCTAGGATTTACTTACCATTTGGTCCATACGCTGTACGGGTGGTTTGAGCAAGTTCTTTGCATGCCTGGATGTTCCTATAGACAGCTTCCTCTAGCCCTGAATAATGCTAAAAAGAAAAATATTCTACTCAGAATTAGGCTTTCTAACAAAAAGAAAGGCATGAACTAGCCATTTCTCATCAAAGCAGCAATACTCTACTGAGTCCAAGAAAGGTTTTGATTAATTTAATTTGGTATTCCACTTAGAAGTTTAAACAGAAACTAAACCTTACCCAAAGATGGTGAGAGAAGTACTGTGTACTCCTTCTCAACTATGCAGCTCAGCAGGCCCAGTAAGTTTCTGAACAGAGACCCAATTTTCAATACAGTTTGCATCTCTTAAGTCTTACAAAAAAAAGTCAGTGGCATGCAAAAGGAAAACAGAAAATAACCAGTACCAGACTGGAAAGGGGCAAGGGTTTTGTAAGCATGCATTTCTGTACATGCTTCTTTACTGACAGCTCTACATTCCACAAAAATAATTTAACTCAGTGTTAGGTTCAAATGTGCATAGTTTGAAAATTCAGAAGCAGAACAATTAGTAAAATATTTGCGTTTGAGAAGCCAATCAGCCTGGCTTCAGCTTCGAAGCCTTAAGAAAAGGAGGGATCCCCAGAAAGAGTCTTAAGAAAGAGCAGGGTAAAATGTACTGTGTGGCCCATAAGAAGGGAGAAAGGTAATCTCTAATAATATTTACTCTCAAAATACAAAACAAGCATCTTGGAATGCCAGCTGCCTCCTTGTTGTGTAAGAGACAGCTCTTGCTGTTCTGACCTTGGGTTCTCTATTAGAGAACCAGCATCGAAGCCACTCTGTTTCCCTGCTCTCCCCCTGCCCTTAGCATATGCCATCCTTTGTCTCCAAGGAAGATTCTGAAAAGAAAAGCAGAGGGCTTTCCGAGTTGCTAACTTCACTTTCTATTAAGCAGCAGCAACCAGAAATTTTCTTATTTTCCCCTATAATAAAAAAAAAAACCACCAACACCAAAACAAAAACCTGCTTGCTTGGTTTCTGTCCACTTTTCCAAAGAAAGCTTCTGCTTTATCAGGCACAGTCCTCGACTACTACCAAGACCTACACCATGTTAAACAGAATGAAAACGGCTTTGCGGGAAGGGGATGTACGGAAAACGTTGTGTCACTCTACAGCGCTGGCGAAGGTTCTTTCCTCACAGGCGCGGCGGCGGGGGGAGGTCAGCACATTTTTAACAAGGGGGACGCTTTTGAGCGGCTCAGCCAGCAGGGCCCGGCGGCTCCACGCGT